TTAATTTCCTTTTTTTTTTTTTTTGTTTTCCATTTTTTTTTCCACTCCCCTTCCCCATCCTCCTCCCCCTTTTTTTGTAATGTAAATAAATAAAATTTTTATCCCGTTGTTTCAACAGTTTTTTTTATAAAGTGCCGATAATAGAGCATCAAAAAAGAAAAAAAAAACGAACAGATATTACCGTTATCATTCAAATCACCATTTGCGAACAGTGCCACCAATCAAACCAAAAAAAAAAACTATCAAACCATCTTCAAAATAAAGAAGAAATTATTGAAGATTTTGATTATAATATCGTAACAAAAAAAAACCACCGACTTTTTTCCCGATACTTATTCATATTTTTCTACAGCATATTAGCAACATCAAAAAAAGATTAACTTTTTTGTTGTTGTCAACAATAACGAAAAAAAAAAAAGAAAATAAAAATTAGACAAATTAATCAGAGGAATCACCAACTAAATTTACACATAAAGTTTTAAAGAAAAAAAAAGCAACAGTTTTTAAAATCCTCTTTTTTGGTTACTTTCTTATTATCAAAATAGACAATGATCCATTTTTCTATCAAACTTTAGTTTTGTCTCTTTCTGCCATTTAAAAAATTTTAGTTTTCTGTCATTAAATTTTTAATAATCTGTTATTCTTCGTTAGATTTTTTTTTTTTTCGTTTTTATTCTCACTTACCTCAGTGCTAATGCATCTTTTCAAAAATGAAACAAACAGAAAAAAAAAAAGAATGGATTATTTTCAAAACTTAAAGAAAATAAAATACTGAAAGAAAATCTATCAGTTTAACAAAAGAAAAATTATTTTTTTCTTTCGTTGTCAATAGTATAGTCGTTCTCAATAACCAAATTTATAAAATTTGATAAAATTTTCTAGACAAAAATTTTGGATAAATCCTCAATTATCAGCAATAATATTTTGTGCATCGTATCACTGCAAATATCTGTTGAAGAAAATTTTATCGCATCAGATACACAATATCAAACATTGGAATAGTAATTACAGAAAGTTGATATTTGATCAAAATATTTTTTGCCCAATTTTTAATGCAAAAAAAAAAACAAAAAATATTAGAATTTATTGTACTATCAACAATTACTGGAAATATTTAGTTGAGTATGAAGTGTTAAGCTTCTGACGGTAGGCCATCAATGTTCAGACAAAAACAAAACAGAACTTAATTGTCCATCCACAGCCATAATTCAATTTTTGTTTTTTTTTCCTATCAAAATGCCTGACAAATTTAGTTTTATTTTCATTCGTTTTTTACGTTATTTGTTTTT